GCTACCCCACATCGTCTCGTGAACACTCACCTACCTAAGAGGTGACAGATGGAAACTGTGACAGGAGATGAGCAGCGGAGTCCTCATAACAACTTAAATATTAAAAATATACGGCTTCCAACGCGTCTGCTAAGAGGTAATCAATGGGGAATGATCACGTATGGCCCAAGATCTAATGCGGGTGACAATACTCAGTCACAGCAGTGGACACCTATTTTTAGACTTTTTGAGAACTATAACGTATTGATGTTAGTATACTTGATGAGCGAATTTTATCGTTATTCTATAAAAAAACAACATTGTTGCTGATCCTGCCGCTCATGTGGTACTTAATCGGGGCAGATCACAACCTTGATTTGGCCGCTTCTGTAAGACTGCATTACGCATATACTTATAGGACAGTATTGAAAGGATGAATAATCGTCGTCGCATCGCAATATAGAGTCGCAGAGTCGGTTCAATCCCCGCCGGTATCAGTTAAATTGTTAATTTACAGTTTTAAGAGCTGACTAACCACGTGCTCGGCAGTGAAGGAAAATATCGTGAGGAAACCTACAAGTCTGAGCAATTACAAAAACTATTTCGAAGACATGTGAACTTCGCCAACACGTATTGGGGCAGTGCGGCAGGCACTCCCTCTCCCTTAGTCCTTCTCTACTTCCCTAATTTCTTCTCAGAAATTAGGGAAGTCTGTGCCCAGCTGTTTGACGTATACAGACTGTAATTTTTTTTATAAAATAAGACAATACAAGCGAGCTCACAGTCCACCTGATGGTAAGTGGAAGCTGTTACCCATCGACATCTACATTTATCCTCGATTGAGAATCAAAAACCAGATGCGTTGTCACCCCAGGACAGATGATGCCTCGTCTCCAGTAAACAGGGTCTCCGGTTCTCTAAACTCACCATACGAAACACGAGCGTGGTCCTAACCCGGTTAAGCCGATCCATTCGTGCTACAACTAATATAGTTGCAGCTTGGCTCTACCACGTAAAAATTTTATTAATATAATAGGATATTATTTGACTGCATCGTTGGTGTAGATGTCTTAATCGTGATTGCTGATCATGAGATCCCACGTTCTAATCCCGAGTCGAGTCAAAGTCAAAGAGAATTCCCAGTAGCACCCCGAAGTCAGGAAGTACCAATTCATTTGCTAAGAAGGGTGATTATATTATTTAGTTGAATACCTGCTGAAACGCTGTTGTGTTTCGTAAGGTGAGTTTATAGAACCGGAGGCTCTTTTTACTGGCCACGAGGCATTTCATCTTAGTCCTCAGTCATGATAACGCATCTGCATTTTGATTCTTAATATTATAGATGCAGATATCTACAGGCCACAGCATCCACTTACCATCAGATGGACTGGGTGTTCGTTCGTCACTTGTTTTCTATAAAAATATTATGTAATAAAGAATCGGCAAATGAAACATATGATGTTATGATATAAAATATGGTGAGATGCATATGAGCGTAAAAATTGATATATTTAGAGAGTCTATGCAAGTCAATTAAGGCGATCGCTTATCTTTTAATATCTACGGCTCAATCTATATATACGAGTATCATATAAAAATAACTGGACCGTACGGAAACCGCATTTATTGAAGTGCCAGGTTCCAACTCGGAAATCGTGTTTATACTAGATTTTTTTTATAAGATAAGGTACAAATGAGCACACAGTCCATCTGTTGGTAAACGGTTGATTTGGGCCCATGGACATTTACATCTATTCTCGATAAAGAATAAAAAGCCCGTGGCCAAGTGAGGGCTAACATGGAATGCTTTAAAAAAGTTAAAATTAAAAATACTTTAAAGAAGATTAAATCTGACATATTATATTTATGGTATCGTAATTCAAAATAAAAACCATTAATTAAACCCTCATTAAAGATTAACCGACGTCACAAGCGAGCAATACCAAAGACAATGATATTAATCAATATAATACGCCGACCATACTGGACTGCGGAAGTCCCGACTACGATGTGTGTGGGCTCTTTGATACCATCGACAATTTTACACTTGCCATCAGTCGAACACAGCCCAACCCAATCTGAACTCTTTTCTTTAGAAAACAGAACTTTCATCTCATCAGCATCAAGAAATAAACAGCAAAATTCGGTGGTTTTATTATAATTTTAATAGAGACCGTCGGAAGTTACAAGCTAGTTGCGAATCCAACATGGCCGGTTGACAGGACGACTCTCAAAGCAAATGGTCCCGTTAATAGTTACATTTCCTGAATTAATTTACGTTTTTAATCTTCTTTGATTTTGTTTAATATACTCAGCAGTTAATGCTGTCATTGGGCTGGGAATAGCTGAGATAAACAGGATACATCCCGCTAGAGAAGATCACACGGATATTAAAAACATCGTGATTAAATCCGTGAAACTGCTTTAGTTTGCAAATCCTTTATTAAACACATTAAAATTATAAAATCTAAGAAATCGTTTGTCACGAGTATTTTATGATTAACGGAGAGAGCGACGCTGCAGTATCAATGGGTCAGCTTGAACGGGGAAGGACTACGCATTCACAGAATGCTAGGGTAAAAAAGCTGCTACTGCTGTGCTACTGTGTATCGAATGGTGAGTGTAGAGAACCGGAAACCCTTTTTATTGGTGACGAGGCATTCTGATATATAGGTAGTAAATGTCTATTGATCCAATAACGCATGCGAGAGAGGGGTCCTGGTTGCGTTCAGAACGAAGATCCCGGGAACCCTCGTATACGCTGCTTGTAACCACCGTAGGGTTATTAGCCAGTAGGAGCCCGGCGTACCTTTTCATTGCCACCGCAGTGATAGGTATCCATGAGGATTTAGGTGTCTATGGATCATTGCGTGTGTGTTCCTCTTTTTTTATAGGATAGAAGTGACAAACATCTATCCTCGATAACGAATCAAAATGTAAATGCGTTGTTACTCGTTAGGACTAAGATGGAATACTTCGTTTCTAGTAAGAAGGGTTTCCTGTTCTTTACGCTCACCATACGAAGCACAGCACTTTTAAGCTACTATTTTATGCTAGAATTCCGTGAGAGCGTGGTCGTACTCTGGTCTAGCCGATGCATTCTTGCTACAACTACAATATAGCTGCACTTAAAAAAAACATCTTACATATTAAGTAATGCCATTCCTTGGCAAACAAAAGTGTTTATTGATATGGAACAATGAACAATAAACTTAAGAAGCGATAGAGGTCGAATTTCCACTTATAAAATAAGTAAACGATCCATTAAACTTTCGTTTTGAAGAATGCAGCGGGCAGTAAAAGTATTGACAAAGTTTTATTTAGCGATGATGTGACGCGCGATTGTTGCGAAGCGTCCATTATTATCAATTTAACTCAGGGTTGGCTGTAATAAGAAAGGATACTGTGATAAATTGAATTCTTTTTCTTCTTTAATTCGTCAAAATCCACAGCTTACCTATATTCGGGCATGGGCTTCTCTATTATTTTTATAGAATAAGATTGACAAACGAACACTGAAATTTGTTTTGCAGTTTTGTGTGAGAAATATATTTCGAAAATGTGTGAAGTCCTTTAAAACGCACTGTAGTGATACAGGGGTTATTTTTGCCGTGTAAGAATATTCATCACCACATTTCATCTCGGTTATTTGCAATTTGGTCGCTGTCGGGGATCGAAGTCCGATTGGTCGCGTACTATGAAATTTAATACGAGTGCCCTGACATGGATTTATCACGGCTTATTGACATTAAAATCTATTAATGTCACTGTATGCAAGTTTCTGGGTCTTTTGAAGTTAGATTCTAGTTCTTACTATCGCGTAATTGAGTAGAAAATGGCAGAACAACCATAGCAACATATAAAACAACTCAATCCTAACTATCCAATGAACCTTTCATGTTGCCACCGAGATACAGCTGAATACTTCGTCAGTTTCAAATTAAAATAGAGACATGAGCGGCGTATTTATTCCGATATTACGCGGAAATGATGCAAAATTGCGGAATGCACTTTAAATAACCGATAGAGAGATCGAGTCTGTCGTGCTAGGTGCACCATAAATTTGAACACGCACGAGATAGTTCTGTTAAGTTAGAACACTTTAATTTATTTTCATTCACTGAAAGACTTTAAATGTAGAAACAGGCAGTATAAATCAATTTCTCTGAACCAACATGCAAGTACCGTGTAAATATCGTCCAGGCGACAGAGGGAAAGTAAATTAGAAGATGGGCAGCAGCAACAATAAAGGACTGTGGTTTCCAGACCATCTGCCAAGCGTGGCATCTATGGCAAAATCCTTCATATGAGGCAATCCATGGGTGAGTCCTATGTACAGCAACTGACTTTTATAGCCTGTAATGGAACATCCAAGTACCATGTGGAACGTTGGTTGTACTATACCCTTCATTTGTATTTTTTATTAACACGGACTTCATCCAATAACTGAAGTGAATAAAAGTTAATAAACGATAAGTTTAATGAAATATGACAAATAGAATAAAGTTATTTAAAAAAAAGTAATAACAACTAAAAATAACATATGTAACTTCACGCATCGTCATTTGATGAGACATTTAAAAATTTAAATGTAACAATAAACTGTAATTTTGTAGCTATATGCCACATTATTTCATTATTGACATTAATAATACTCGCTTTACCCATTTTAATTCAGATTAAAATTCTTTTGCTAGGAATAGTTCACGACAGTAGACGATTAACTCATTATATTATTTTCTAAGACGTCGGGGCTTCGCAATCTAATTCTGTGATTATTATGTCCGTAGTTATTTTCCAGGAATTATGGAAATTATAGTTGTGCCGTGCTCACTCACTCAATAAGACTCAAATCGACCGTCTGTTTGTTACAGGAAGCCGAGAACATCGGCGTGCGACTTCAAAGCTGCGTCTACATCAAACGACCTCTCACCATCAGCGAGTACCTATTAAGCGTTAATTCAATCATAAAAACAAACATGTGCAACTATTTCCGTACGGTTCGCGGGTGAAGATCACACATGAGCGCGGAAAGTGAAGCAGATTGCACAGAGGACAGAAAGAAAGAGAACCGGGGAGAAGAAATGCAAACTATAGTTTCCAATTACGTCGCGCCCAATCTTATTGGACAAGCTGACAGATTGATCGATGTCAATTACTCTAATGATTATTCCTTAGATTACCAATATGTCGAAAAGAATGACAGCCCAGAAGCTCAAGAAGAGAAGATAGAAGTCGATGTCGATGATAAAGAAGATGAATTAATAATAGACGATGGTGACGTAGACAAATCAGAAAACGAACAACAAGACAGTAGAGTTAGCGATTTACAAAATGAAGTTCAAGAAGAGAGCAGAAGTAGCCAAAGAGAAGAGAGCTACGAACCATCATGGCACCCACATGTGTACGGTAAGCCGCCAAAAAAGCCTACGCCGCACACAATAGAGTACATATTAGGATTATCAAATAATAAACAACAAACGCCCGAAGAGCAGAGAAAGTCCACTGTCAGTCAGTTGATGAACGTAAAAAGAAACTTCGATGGTAAAAAGCAGTTTTATCGAGAGAAAAGTGTGGAAATTCAAAGGGATATGAACGAACGCAAGTTTGTGAGTGTGCACAAGAACAAACTGCAGGAACAGTTGTTGCAGCGTGGTGTTAGAACTGTTGAAAGTGAATGTGCAGTGCAATATACTTTTAAAGTCGATGAACCTCTCAATCTATCAGTTCCAAAGTCGAAGGAGTCACCAGCTTGGGGCTCCGATGAAGATAAATTGGGCAAAGGTAAGTTCTCGACTGTATTTTTCTGATCGGTCAAAATGTCCCTACAAAATAAAACATTAAGCTCCAGCACTGGAAGTAAAACATTTCTGATTACAAATTGAAGGAGGAGGAGGAGGAGTAGTAGTAGTAGTAGGAGGAGGAGTAGGACTAGGAGTTGTAGTAGTAGGAGGAGGAGTAGTAGGACTAGGAGTTGGAGGAGGAGGAGGATGATACTTTTATGAGACAACACAAGTTCTAGCTCGAAATTAAAGCAAGATTAAAATTAGCAGTGGTATCGACTTAACTAAAATGTTATTGCTATACTAAATTATTATGCTGATTTACAATGTACTAGAACCAGCGATGGATTTAACTTTTTACGCTCCAAGTTTTTAAACCAAACAGAAACCTAGTTTTTTTATTTTATATTGGTTTTTTATTTGAAGTTAAATAGTTACAATTTTCAAAATAAGTCAAATCTAAATGTATATAATGCTTTAGCGAGATAATATTCATTTATATTTCGATTGACTAGTAACAAGATTTCTTTTCCATAAATTTTTTTTCAGAAGTTTAATAATTAATGCCTTCTCTACGGTTTCACCCTAGGCTATCGCTTAGTGTGCCTTATTTTAAATCAATAACTGTTTTCTACGATAAGGATATGAGCCCAATATTCCGGGTTCCTATTTCAAAAACTACTTAGTACTTTAATAATGCCTTCTAGCATATCGGATCTGAATTTATGTTCTATGCTTTAAAACCCAAGTATGTGGGTACATTATAATTTATTCAATTTCTATTAAAACTGTATTATACTAAAACTGTGTACACAAACAAGAATAGAAACCGCTATATGACATATCATTCTTATTTTATTTTACATTTTACATATGTGGGTTAAATAATATAGTACTATATATTCATGCAGCCCCGGCGGTAAAACGTTACAAGAAAACGTGACTTTTTTTTTTAAAATATTGTACTAAATTTCTCCACTAAGTCGATAAAGACGTATCACTTCGAAAATAAAACATTTATATTTTTTATCAGAAGTTTAATAAACGATCCTCTCTCTGCAGTGATGCCCTTGCCAAGTGTACCTTATTAATCCATCACTGACTGTAGCCATATTGTCCATGCCGTAGCCGTGAGGAGTCGTCGCGAGAAGCCATTACTCTATTTACTGGTGTTTTCTTAAGAGGCGAAATGAGAAATTGAGAAAAAAAGAAGAAAGAAAAAAAAAACAAAGAAAATAGTAAGGCTTCGCATAGATAACCATCTTGTTTACATTAGACGTAAAATACTCGTACCAAGGCCAGCGACAGGCAGTCGCGTCAAAGGTGCGATACATCAAACTGTGGTAGTCCATCTGACAGCCAAGAGTTACGATTAAGGCGAATTCCCCCATAACAGGTCAGTTCCACGTCCAGTAGTGGATTTTCAAGGGCTGATAAATAAAAAGAAGAGTCGTATGTAGAGCGTGCATGTAAAGCTCAAGGTCTTGGTGGGCTAAATGCACAAAGACAGTAGAACCAGTGGGCTGCAAAACCCAATCTTAACGAAAAAAACGCATTGCATATATAGAGTGGAAAAGAGCGGTAATCGTTTATTTAGTATAAGTATAACAGTTAACATCGTCTTTTTCCACATTAGTAAAGGTGTGACGCAATGAGACCTGCTAACTCCAAAACTATTTACGGCAGAAGTCTTTAGAACGCTGGCAGCTAACTGGGCGGAAAGGGGTATTAAGTTGGAAATGTAAGATTATCCGTTCTCCGTTTCGCCGATGATACGCCTCTTTTCGTTTTTAACCGACGAGTTGACTCGAACGCTAGACGATCTTAGCAAGGCAAGCCTTGAGGTTAGACTTCGAATAAACATATCAAAGACAAAATTGATGATGAACAGCACACATCATAAGATTACTGTCGAGAGTGTAGAAATTACATACGGTGGTTAGTATTCCTATTTGTGAAAAATAGCCCTCTTTCCTGGCAAGACAAGACAAACAAGTTGCAAGACGCACCGAAAACGCCTGAAAGAGCTATTGGTATATTAAAGGTCTTATGAAGGGTAGTCTTCTTCTGTTCCTGAAAAGGAGACTAATATGGTGCCCAGCTATGGTATTTGAGAGTTCAGCAGAGGTCCACACTTGATTAGTTTGTAAAAGAGCAATAGATCGGAGTATTCTGGGCATTAAGCTCGGAGACCGGATTAGGAATACTGAAATTCGTTCTAGATCAAAAATTCCCGATGTCACATGAAAAGACGCTACGCTGAAATGGGACTGGGCTGGACACATCTGCCGAAAGCCTGATGACCAATGAGCTAAAGTGACAACTCAATGGGTCCCTATAAAAGGCAAACATCAGCGTAGCAGACAGGCGAAGATGGCGGGATGAACTGGACTCCTTTATGAAAGACTTGTCGATGATGGCTCTGGAGAGAGAGATGTGGCAAGACAGTAGGGAGACCTTTGCCCTGCAGTGTGTAATTTAGGATTAATAATAATAACAAAAACTAGAGTTACAGCCTATTCAAAGTCCACTGCTGAACATAGGCCTCCCCCATAGATTGCTTTATAGGAGGGATATTTGCCATAGTTGCCACACTTGACAAGTGGGTTAGCAACCGCAGCTTTTTATTTTTAGTCGTTATTAAGAAGACGCTGCTGCTCATCTTCCGATTTGTTTTCCTCTGTCGCCTCTTACGACACCCTCGGGATGATATGGGGTAGTGGATATTCTTACGGTATTTAATAGTAAAATAATAGAAATGTATATTACCATCATTTCCCAGAAATTTGACATCCTTTAAATTACCTATTTGGGGGTAATTCTATCTGCGGAAATAAGTTTTAAAACTGCATCCAAGTGTCCGTCGATCAAAAGCGATCGGGGGAGATTTCTTTCCTTTTATAAGGGAAAATAATTGCTCATACTAGAAGGTGCTTCCAAACGTTAATATTTGGACGCGTTCGCGGACTGGATAAGGCCGTATGCAAATGCGTAGAAGGTCATATGCAGTGTTGCCAATATTAAAATCTAGCTCGGTAGCTCCCTTTGTAGAGAACACTATAATCCCGTCAAATCCCGTCAAGTACGGTAGACAAGTGTGAATCATTCATTGTATCGCACATTTTTTCGTATTTTTAAACTAAAAAATTAATAAAATTATAATTTAATTTTTGTCATTTCCAAATTATTTTTATTTCGAAAACAAATCTAAAAAATTATAAATTTTTGTTGTCCCGTTAAAAAATCCGTTAGCCGTTAAACACAATTTTCCCGTCCCCCGTCAACCCGTCAAGTTGGCAACACTGGTCATATAATTGACATGTCTGTTGTAGAGTAATTAGTATGACCGCCATAAAAAAATAAAATTAAAAGTACTCAGATATTTAAATAAAAGCATCTATACAATTACGTTTACTTTTCAAAATTAATTTATATCGATTAGCAGATAAAACTCAAGAACTTCCAAAGAATGAATAAAATGGATATAAGCATTCCGAAAAGTAAACAATACAGTTGGCGGCAATCGTTCTTCCCGAACTCAAAACATCGATATAACCATCAAAAATCCCACACGCGCGCAAAAATAAACAACAGTTTCCACGAACTTCGCGATGGGGAGGCTTTCGAAATATGTCCCGCACTAAACAAATCAATTTCTTTCGTAACACATGCTGAACTGCTTCTTATTTCTAAACGTTGAAGTTCAATATGCAATTCGAAACTATCGAACATTAAATCATTTTCGTTTTAAGAACGTATATGGGCTATAAAGCGGCAAAGTTGTAAATCAGAGTCAATTAGACGAAAGACTTCGCGGCCACGGCGGGCTTATTTTTAGCTGGGTAATATCGTCGATGAGTATCTGTACGCGGTGAATTGTTTACGCGGCGTAATTGGGGTTTTATGGGCGAACGATTAGAAACTACAGCTTGCGATTTTGTCTTTATACCCATACCTAGCCTGTCATAACACATAAATGTCGCATAATATGTTAAACTTTATGAATACGCGAACAACAATGTAGCTAAGAGAAAATAGGCTAACTTTGTTATTTGTTTTGAAATAAGAGTTGTTTTCAGTATAAGTTTTGATGCCATCATATGGCTTCTGTTCTTCTTTTATTTTGAACTCGTACAAAGTGTTTTTCTTAACAATTTAGTTAAATTAAATTTAAAATTAGTAATCGAGATTCCAACTTTTGTTGGGTGTTAAAGAAACAAATTAAAATTAAAAAATTCCAGTTTATTTTAATTATTCAAAAAAAAAAAATATTAAAATAAGTTTGACTCTTGTTTATTTTGGAAGTCGGTTTTGTTGATTTTGAACAATCTTGAAAAACTTGTGTAATTTTTTGAAGATTGTTTAAAATCATAATAAATTAGGAACATTCGCAATAAAGAAAACTTTTTTCCTCCATATTATATTACTCCATGATATATGTCTTCACTATTCTTTACAATTATTTCAAAAAAATAAAATATAGTAAAATATATAAAATCTTCAAGAACAAATTTTAAATCTATATAACAATGATTGACAAACATTTCACTACAGCTTTTAGTACGCATAGTACGATAAATATAATAGTTTATATTTGTCCAGTTGTACAAGGAAAGCCTGGAGTAATGATTTGCTTAAATAAAAATAAGACTTTTACCCATGTAAATATGTGCCTATAGGTGACCTGTAACCAACGATATATTTTATTTAATGCGTTACCCTTAGTGAAGGACCTTGAGCGTTCAGTCCTATACATTCCACTTGCTCTCGCTACAATATATTGCGTAAGAAATACACCCAAATTTTGGAATTATCTCAATTCAAAAAGAAAAGGGAACTTAAGAAATGAAACAAAACGTGAATGATATAGATTTTTAAATTATCTATCCAATAGTGTGATCCCCAAATGATTAGAGCGTTGCCTTTAGCAACAGATGCATGTGATCAATAATTTTAGTCATTTTTTAAAAGTTGATTTTAAATGTATTTATAACACATAAA